GGGTTCTTGTCCAAATCATTTGAGGCCGAATGGGATAGCCAGTCGTTGGAGGGTAATGTTAGCAAATTTAACTCCCTTACATAATGTCAAGTTATCACTGGTCAATTTTTAAATTTCTTACAATTTCACATCAGGGAGGTCATTGCCCCCCCCCCCCCTCCTTCCCATTATCCAGAAGTGTGACTAAGCATATTCTAGTATCTATCCAGGTGTCCAATCTAAATCTCCACCACAACAGGATGTATACCTGAGTGATGGTAAGGCAAGTGGGGTTAAAATTCTGATTTACCAATATATTACTATACATATGCACATTAAAAATATGAAAAGTTTTCCAGTTCAATATATCTATAGCAGGAGGCTTAAACCAGAATTTCAGAATACAAAGCAACTTTTATGTCATTTTTGTAATGGTTTGTTTAAAATCCATTTTTATACAGACATGGTAGGGTGTCTCCTGGCTAGAAGCCTGCATATACATATACAAATTATAATAGTTTATTTATAATTCTAATTCTTACAAAATTTGCAATAAGTCAACAAAATAAGTACTCTATTCTGAACTGTTGACAGGAAACAGTGTAAATTCATGTCTCATCCAATATGACACAAGAATTTGAGACCCCTTGGCATACCAGAGGCATTCAGTTAATTTGGTGTGTGAAATTCAGTGCAGTCCCCTGCAGCCAGGACAAAATGGCAAGTCCTATCATCCCCAGGTATTCAATTGGAATTTCTACTTGGAATTTCCCAAACCATTCCTTTACTGCTCTGTAAAAGCCTTCCCTAGCCGACTGCTTTATTTCACCATTTATATACAGCAGATAAAAGACTGGGTGAACCAAACATGACCTCACTCATTCCCCAACTTGGACACTGAAAGTAAGTGTCTTCCCTGTTTGCCAAGAAATGATAAACCAGTGAATATGCTTATAAGCTTACTCACTGTATTTAATTAAAAGCTATTAAAATTACTCACCAATAATACAACTGAGAAAATTAAGAAATAGTAAAATACACCTATAATATAATATATGCTATAGTTATAAATTCCAATTGGCCATTTTAATATAGGGCCATTTATAGGCAGGTATTAATAAATTAACACAGTTTAATGTTTTATTTATAGAGTATTAAAAATCGGTCTCGACAGCTGCAGTTGTCTTGGTCTTATTAAGTAAAATCATTACTAAGATACTTAATTAAACAATCTAAACGTTTGATAATATTAATAAGAAACTTACAGCATTATACATGAAGCCTTACAAATTAAAACAATAATCAATCTCGATCTGTATAAACAGAATATCAACATAACAACGTAATTATGAGTTCTGGTGTCTTATACTCTTATGAACTTACTGTCATGCATTGAAAAAGTGTTGACAATTAGTTATATGACACAACTAACAATGTATTACTTTTAAAATAATTTTCTTTGCGTGTTTGATAAATGTGGAGTTCTTCTCGAGGGTCGAGGGTGGGAAGTCGAGGGTCGGAAAATGATAAAAAGTCGCGAGGGTCGTATTAAAAAGTCGAGGGTCATATATAAAAAGTCCGGGGTCGTATTTCTAAAATATTTTATGGTTTTTATTGTCGAGGGTAGAAATTTGCGGGCAAAATAATTTGACATGGACTTATCAGCAGCCATCGGCAATGGCAATGGCAATGGCAATGGCAATGGCAATGGCAATGGCCCGCGTGCAGGCCCAAGGGAACTGATAGTGGGCCTGCAAGCAAGGCCCGGTATTTTGTAAAACGCCCCTTTTCATAACACCGCCCCATTCGCGCGTCAATTGTCAAAAAAGAACTAGCCTGATAACAGACCTACGTTTCGCCCACCCTAAAAGTGAGAAAATCAACAACTTGTTCCCGGGTGATATATTATATAGAGGTCAGCAGTAAAACCATGGCAGCAACATTCCAGAGGTGGTATTTGATGTTTCTGTACTTGTGGTTTTGAAAGGCATTTGAGAGTGTTTAGGTCTTTAGACATGTGACCCAATCGCCCAATTTCACAGTCAGCGAGGCAGCAAATACTCTCAGTTGTTTCTGAAGCAAAGTGCTAAATTTAAACAATGCAGTATAGTGCCCTGCATGGAGGTTTATAATCAGTGGCAATTTTTGGAATGGTTGAAAATCAATGGCAATATAATCTCTATAACAGACGCTGCCAATCCTGCCATATACTTATGGTTATCTTATAGTTTGTGGGAATTGACGGTGTAGGTATCAGGTATGTAAACATTGATTTTGATTATAGGACCTCGATACAATTGTCGATCTGTATTAAATATGTATGACAGCTACACTCTTCAGTAACCAAGCTGTATTATTTTCGTCAGACTCACATCACACATGCTAAAATTTCTTCCTCAGCTTTATTTATAATTTTTGTGGCATGATATTTGCTGTGTTAGTGTAATGTAGTCAGGTGAATAAAATGCTTGTGATGTTATTTGAGTGTATATCCACGCCGGGCACGCCTGAAAAATATGCCTGGCCACAGTGGGAAGCGAACCTACAACCTTTGGAATACTAGCCCAATGCTC